TTAGTGCCCTGGTTCTGGTTCTGGTTAGGGTTAGTGCCCTGGTTCTGGTTAGGGTTAGTGTCTTGGTTCTAGTTAGGGTTAGGGTCCTGGTTTTGGTTAGGGTTAGTGTCCTGGTGCTGGTTAGGGTTAGTGTCCTGGTTCTGCTTAGGGTTAGTGTCCTGGTTCTGGTTAGGGTTAGTGCCCTGGTTCTGGTTAGTGTCCTGGTCCTGGTTCTGGTTCTGGTTAGTGTCCTGGTCCTGGTTCTGGTTAGGGTTAGTGTCCTGGTTCTGGTTCTGGTTAGTTACCTGGTTCTGGTCCGGCTGCTTCTGCCTATGTGGAGTTTGGTCTGGGTACTCTTCCTCCCACAGTGCAACCATGTACATGTTATGTGATTTTTAAACTAAGTCAGCAGTTTCCCTGCCTCACTGCACTTCTTTTGAAACTGAATGGATCTCTGCAAAAGACTTTTGAGCTCTGCACAGTCTGTCAGTGGTGCACTGAGTATATTTTGCCCCCGAGGATCAAATACGAGGATTCCTGCTCTAAGGAGCCCGTAGTGTGGTGTGGTTCCTTTCTGTGCGGCCCCATGATGGACTGATTACCTGTTTCCACTCTGCCTCTCACCCAATGAGAGCTGGAATACACTGCAGTCACTGATTAGAGCATGGCCATAAATAGGAATTCACATGTAGTCTCTGTTTCACTCTTTTTCCAGTCTATTATAATTTATTTAAATTATTGATGTAAACTTTCGACCCAACGCAAAAATACTCTTTTGCCTCAAAATATCCTTTTCCTGGATTACGGAGCGTCCTCCCCATCAGACAAACACTGAGCGTGCAGACTACATACACCAGACATTCAACCTAAATGTTTTTCTGTCAGTCTCTTCCTCTTACTTACACTGCACAACTTCTCCTCCCATAATTCAAATGTACTTTTCTACAATCTGGCTGACCTAAATCCAAACAGGATGGGACTTCTGGAAGGCTCGTCCTCTCAGAGGGGAACATCTGCAGACCGTATTTCTCCTACTTTTAAACTCACAGAATAATGTTGTTTTTTTTAAATAACTGATCAACACGCTGTTGTAAATCCAGGCAGAAAGATGCAGTATAGATCCAGAGTAGCTCATATTGCCAAGTCACGTCCTGTAACGGCTTCTTGGGCTTCTGACCACTATCAGACTGTAGTACACCAGAGGATAGCAGGCAGAGGCCACTACAGGTCACATATCCAGTCCTCCTTGTTTATCAGGGGTAGTTGGAAAATGAAAACTCAAAGGAGGTTCACAGCGGGCTGGCATTACTTTACTCTCCTCTCTGAGCCTGAGTTGTGGCTCTTTGTCATCTCAACAGGGACATGGACACAGTGCTTTATCTCTGACTTGTTCATCTAACTGTCTGCTTAAAAATATGATTTAGAAAAGGAACAGTTAATGTGGGGAAGGAACACCCTTTACATTTAAATACTTCTTTTAAAGATTTTGGAGTTATAACTTTGGATCAATCAGACCACACTAAGGATCAATCCACAGAAAAGTGGCATGTAGTTTGGGGGTATCTTAAGTTCATAACACTACCGCTGAGCCCGATCAGAGTTCATGTCTTTCATTTTCTGTTGTGTGGAAGTGTCCTTCTAAGGAAGAGGTTCAGTCTGTGTTTTTTGCTGCCTGAAATAAAGGTTTCAAATTGAAATAGATGCTTGCAGATCTGATTGACCTGAGCACCTCCAGCAGTCACAAAGAAAAATTCCTGAACATGGGTGGAAACACAAACCTTTCAGAAGGAGCTGTTCAGGGCTAAACTGCCCAGTTTTAAAGGGGGGCTTCATATGTTCAACAGCACATGCAGAAACAGCACAGAAAGCCTCCAGAGGCACATGAACAGCACTACCTACTCATTGTTCCTGATTTTATTCCTCTGACAGGAGCACAAAGCCACCTTTCCCCCTGAAGCTGTTATTTTAGTGCCCTCAAGTCATTTCTACTGTTTCCTTTTTACATATTTTGGAATCAGGATGGAGGACCACTTTATTCTTTAGAGCATTCCTAAGTCTTGATGTGTCCTTGGATTGTTAGTTTTGGCCTGAATTGTCAGTGAAAATAAGCTCTTACAGCGGAAGTCACCATTAAAACCGATTTCTGCTTGGATCCCCCAGCTAGCTGTTGGGTCCTCAGCTTCAAGTGGTGAAACATTTTCACTCTCATGTCTTGTGTGAGAAAACACACTGCTCTGTCATTATCCTTGTAACTCAGTGTTTATGCAACACAATCAAGACGCATTTCACATGGATTTCGCAGGCCTTTTGCCTCAGTTTTGGACAGATAGTTTTAAACAAAGCTCTAGACCACTTTTTCACTTTACAACCTATTACGTTGGAGTTGAGAGGAGATTCCCCTCCAGGGCTGGATTAACACAATTCAATCACCAACACTAACGCTAACCCTAATAACAGCAATCCTTTTCTATCACACACACAAACAGCCGGGGCTCTAAGAGAACCATGAATGTGTAACAACATAAAGGTCCATCACTCAGATTTTAAACTAAAAATACTGGCACTGAAAAAGTAATTCTACTCAGACAGAGCTTTGAGACTCCTCAGACAAAAAGAAAAGCTTTAGTCTCAGACTGAGAAACTGCTGCCATTCGCTGCTCAGTTTGGAACACAAAGGGTTAGGGGTGTGCAGCAAGGAAAAGATAGTAAAGAAATCCCAAATTTGACCCACGGTCCAAATATCAGTCCAAGTATGGGCGACAAAACCAAAGAGCTTAAAAACATCCCCACGCTAGCTGACTGAACACCGGCAGTCAAATCACCTGCAAGCAGCGGAGGACAGGGCAGGAATCAGGTTTGATTCAAACCTACAAGAGAGCAGCTTTCACATTAAAGCAAGAAGTGAGGATTTCCAAGTAAAACTTTGACATCAAAAACTCAGAGAAAGTTCCTTCAGCAAGTCAGAAACAGGCGCAAGAGATCAGATATTCAACTAAATCTGTGTGATACAGTTTCCTCAGTTTTAATTTAGGCCCTCTGGGCCCCCTCCACACGTGGCCCACTTCCTGGATTTAAATTCAATAGCTGTTTTTGTCCTCCACACTAAATGATCCATCCATTTGATGCTGATAGTCTTATTTTGAGCAGCAGTGTTTGGCAGTTCTTTGTTTCATTCATGTATTCATTTCAGGGGGACAGTCTTGCTCTCATAGAGACAAAAAGTCCCAAAGCCTGAAAAAGCCGGGCAGCAGCTACCAGCTCATCAACATTAGAACCATATTCGATAAATACAATTAATAACACATCAGATCAATAAAAGTCAAGAGTGCGTCCATCCTTCAGAGTTAGGGTTATGGTTAAGTAGGAAATCAGGACTTTTAGTCTCATTTCAGTGTCCTTGACTTGTATAAATAAAAGTAGAATTCTGCTCCGCTGTGGGTCTCCTGGGACGTTCTCCGACTTCCTGGCATTAAAGAGACAGCCATCTGGAGACTGACATAAAACCACCTCTGCTTCTAAGCCGACAGTCTGAGACACTTACTGGACCATCCAGAAAAGAATAAAAGTCCAATAAAAGGGGGCCATCTGTGGTATATAGATATATATACAACTTAAAGAGTTTAGCTATAGAATATTATTCTTTTTTTAAAAACATATCATAAGAGAAGGAAGCTTAATCATGAAATGGCACTAACTCCTACTTTACCCTCTGCAGCCACTGGGTGTAATTCTCCATGACGCTCTCCAGCTGCTGGATCTTCTGGCTTGGAAAAGGTTCTTCAGGTGGCGGCGCGTCGCTCTGCACAGAGTTGGCGTCATACGGCGAGGAGCGGACCGAGCCCCCCCCGCAGGCCGCCCCCTGGCCCTCCGGCAGGAGGAAGGTGTAGGTGCACTGGCCGTGCTGGATCTGGTGGAGGCCCCGGAGCTCCCCCTCAGCACAGCTCCCAAACACCAGCAGGGTGGAGACCGACAGCCAGCAGGGCCCAAAGTGGTGCGGCAGCATGGTGTGGGTCAGTGGGCTTTAGATCTCCAGTCTGACTGGCCGGTGCCCAAGAGAGATGCTAGAAATGGAGGAAACTGCTTTCCAGGGACGCTCCATCCATTCTGTCTCCGGTCTGAAAATGGCTGTGAGCTTCCAGACCTCCGCTGAGTTTGTGCTGCAGGAGAAGGTGCACATCTCTGTGGCCGTTTGGTCAGGAAGGCTGCTCGGTCAGGCCAAAGCCGGACGCTAGCATGGTGCAGGCGAGAGTGGGTCTGAGAGCTGCACAGCCCCGGCAGACCTCCCTGAGTGAGAGGCGGTGGCTCAGTCTGAGCCTGCCCCTTTCACAGGAATTTGTGCACAGAGCAGCTAGAGCGCGTTTCATTCCGGGATCAGTTTACAGCAGCCTGCGAGTTCAGTGGATCTGCTGCCACAGACAGGTGCCGCTCCCACATGGACCGATTCCATCACAACAAATCACACTGGGAAGAGCAGTAAGCCTGAACCCCCTTCAGCCTTTGGATGTGAGCCCTGAAGGGTGGAGGCACATCTTCAGACGCTGGTGTTCATCTCCGTTTAATCTGCTGAGAAAGAGGGACAGCAGCTTAGTAGCATCTGTCAGATCTCTGTCTGCATCACAGGCTCTGACTAAAAGCTCTGTGCTAGAGTTCAGTCATTTTCTGTCTGGCTGGCTGCTGATGCGTCTATAGTCTGATCAAAGACGGCGATTGTTAGCTGCTGACTCTCGGCCGTGAGGAGCGCCATCATGTGAGACGCCAGCAGGCAGATGGTCTTCATGGGATTCTGGCTGCTGTTTCACTTCGGAAAGGTTGAAACAAACATCAGTCAGATTGTGCTTCTGAAACCTAAATGTATGAGTAGAGGCACAGATCCCACATTAGACGGGCTTCATGCTGACAGCCAGTTGCAAAATACAGAAGTAAGAGCCGTTTTCAGATTTTGGTTTTCGAATTCAGAGCTAATAAAGATGGTCATATGAATAAAAACGTCAGATTCTTGATTGTTGAGCAGATGGTTTTGTCCAGAAATGTTTATGAGTAAAGTTTACTGTTTTATATCTAATTTGTTTTAAGTTTAAGGGTTTCAGTGTGTGAGGGTAGAAAATCTTCCAAAGTTTTGTCATTTTGATCAAAATCCTAAAACAATGGTCAGGTTTCTCTTATCTTTGGAGAACCCTGTTTGGGCTGTAAATCAGATGAAAATGCGTTCCATTGACTGCAGAAAACAAACCTCGGCAACTCATTCAGAAATGCCTGAAAAGCTTCAGCTCTCAGCGTTTACGGGTGTCTATCAAGTTAAAGTGGCTGAGCTGGATGTGTAACGCAGCCAAAACACTGATGGCCTCCTTCCTTTTGCTTCTACGCTGAGCTCTTTATCAGACTGTTGAATGAGCTGTTGTTCAAACACTCGGACACAATGTGCTGCTGATGCTGATCCAGGGCCAGCATCCATGCAAAGGCTCCGTTTGTGAATGCTGATGCAGATCAGTCTGGGGTGTTATTATCCTGGCCAATCCTGTTAGATTCCTCTGAAAGATTCACAGTTTTGTCTCCTGGAGCCTTGAAAGAAAGTTAATCTCACAAACATGAGTCTCATTAGCTTTTAACCACGTCACAGCCTCACGTTTTAGGGCTGCTCTCTGCTGCCACTCAACTTTTCTTCAGTTAGTCTGTGCAGCAATAAAAAAACATTGCTTCAAACATACAAAAAAAAACATCCGTCTATTGTGGATCCTGAGGCAAATGCTTCACTGACATCAGTGTTTCCCTTTATTCCTGCAACATTTTCCTGAATTTCCTCCACCAAGAAGAGATCACAGTAGCCATCATCAGGGGGACACTGTTGGAAACCCTGGAACCACTTGCTAGTGATGGTTGTCAGTTCTTGTTATCACACTAGGATCTTAAACCTGTACTTGGATGTCTATCTTGTGGCTCAACTGTAGCACAGGATGAAATATCAGCACACAATGCAAACCAACTCAAACAAATAAAAGGAAAAAAGAAATATTTAGATTTTTGGTCAGTGGTTTACAGCCAACAAACTCTCCCTCAATGTTTCATCAAACCTTTCCTCAGAGTTTTTTTAATTTCCTGTGGATATTGATATTTCTTCAGAATTGTTCATGTCCTGATGTCCTGCTCTGAACTGGGATTTATCACACCTAAACATGAAGGTTTCATCCTGTCCTGAAGATACTAAATCAAACTGTTAGACGCTCACGTTTACTTCAGTAATGCCTATCAACACGTAAAGAAAACTGAAATGATGTTAATGCATTCACTATTATCAGTGATTTGTTGTTGTTATTGATAGTCATACATTTTTTTAAAAACCAAAGCTTGTCCATTTTATTTGGCAGCATTTCCAGTTTCCCTTGATGGCCGATAAAGGCAATGGAAGGCTCCCTCCTTTTTCTCTATGTGTTACTGCTATATATTCAGGAGCTCTGATCTTCACCTCATCTTGCTTTGGGGTATGACTGCAGGCATTTCTTTGGCTCTGAAAAGTTTCCAAACCTGCTCCAACAGCCATCTTGTTGCCATGGTTACTCATCACAACACATTAAAAGTGTCAGACATAGAAGGAGCCATTTGTCACAGCATCCAAACCAGGGTAGAAGAATGTTTCAGAAATCAGAGTCATTATGAAACATTAACAGTGAATAATGTGTTTTCCCTCAGTCAGTGACACAAAGGACCTTTGTCCATCACATTCCTCACATTTTAGTTAATGCTCCTGTTTACTTTCCATCCAAAGCTGAACATTTCAGACAATAAAGGGCCGGTTGATGGGGCTGATGGGGGGTGTGGGTAACCCAGTCAGATAGTATCCTGAGCAGAACTCTGCCTCCTTCAGTTCTCTGCACCTCTGCAGGACCTGTCAGTGAGACTCGACCTGTGGCTGTAACGGCTGCCATTCGCTGTAAATAACAATCTCTGATGTCTGGTACAGGCTTGTTGAAGGAGGGTGCTTTTCTTTGTTGGCTTCAAAGACCAGAGTAGAAACAGTAAGATGAGTGCTAACCTCACAATCATTTTAAACATTTTTAACCATCTTAAGCTGCTGCCAGCTCACATTGCATTTCCTTCTGAAGTAAAGGTTAGTTGGAGCAGAAGCAGGAAAACAGTGCATGGACATTTAGTGGCGCTAACCTGACCGTGGAAGCATAAATACACAGACTAGGCGTGTGAGGAGCAAGGTCATACTTTGAGAACAATATCTATATCTTCGCCCTGCTCTGTTTCATGCCATGTGTAAGCCACAGAGGGGGGGGGGGGGCGGTTTGCACACCTCTCCTGACGTTCTGTGTGAAACAGAGAGAGATGAAACAAGAAGCTGCAGAGGCTCCTCTGTGCTATGAATACCTCCAAAGAAAACAACCTAAAACAATTAAAGCTCTGTTTGTGAAAACCATGATGAAACCTGAACCAGACGGTCCCGGTTCATGTCCATTCTGACATGTGTAATCTTTTAATGGACAGGATTAGTGCACTGGCAGCCAGGGGATGTCCAAGAAGTCTTGACTGTGTCAGACAGTGTTTATAAGATAAAAACTGATCTTTAAGCTCCCAGAGCTGCTATCTGCGGCTAACAAAGCCTGAGAAAAAGCTACATATTCATGGAACAACAGACTGATCAAGCCCATATCCTCCTAAACATGATTAAAAAGTCTGTGACTTCACCACCGGTTTTATGGCACAAAGCAACATGCAGGGAATCATTAGCCTGTGGAGAGGTGCATCCTGGGATAGCTGCTATGAAAGGAGGAGGAGAGGTGCATCCTGGGATAGCTGCCGTGAAAGGAGGAGGAGAGGTGCATCCTGGGATAGCTGCTGTGAAAGGAGGAGGAGAGGTGCATCATGGGATAGCTGCTGTGAAAGGAGGAGGAGAGGTGCATCCTGGGATAGCTGCTATGAAAGGAGGAGGAGAGGTGCATCATGGGAGGCCCCCAGCAGTCTGGGCCTTAAACTAATGAAACGAACACAAACTTTGAGCTTAATTTTCTGATTCTACTGTATTTCTATGTTCCTCAGCTCGTAAACCCTCTTTCAGCAGGCGAAGGGGATGTCATCAGTCTCTCTCACGGCTGTTTAGGAGTGTTGGTCCACTCGTGTTACTGAGGACTTTGGTACCCTGAGAGTTCTCAGTGGACTCCCAGGTCCTACAGACCGTGAGATGTAGCTCTTGGGGAGACCTTCCTGTCAAACTGACAGCACTTTTTCAGTTTCACTTCCAGAAATGATCAGATGGATAGTATCAACAGTATACCTGCTAAGTAAGAAGTTTTTGTGATGTCCTGATACAAATCCTCTTTTCCTGGATCCCATTGTTTAAGATCTTAGAGACATTTCACAGCCTAATTCAGTCCTATGATCCCCCGTTCTTATTCTCACCCAGAGACAGGCATTGCCAGGAGTCAGATTATTTCTGCCCCCCCCCCCCCCCCCCACTGCACAGGTCAAGCTGCTCAGTGTAGTTTCATATCTGCTGACAGGTATCGGAACAAAACTAAACATGAATGCGTCCCACAGCCTCTATTTTTAACCAGCAGCACATTGAGCCCATTCCTCGGGGTGGTGTGTGTGGGGGGTGTGGGGGGTGGGGGGGGGGGGGGGCGGGGGGGGGGGGGGGATAGCCACTGCCCTGATAATAAAACAGACACTGCTGAGCTCCGGTTTCTGCTCTGGGCCCTGATCCTCCTGATACAGTGGGACGAATTCAACCAGAGTTAGTTGAATTTCCTAAAACAGTTACTGACTGAGAAGAGAAACCCGTGACATGAACAGACTGCCCTTCACTGGATAAACAATGTGAGGGCAGCGGTTCCCCAGCGGAGCCTCCCTCTGAGTACGGTCTGACTCTGTAAGGAGGCGGGGGGTCTGGGCTCTCAGCATCACTCAGGTCTGGTGAGGGCTCAGACACAGAAAGGTCTCCACTCCACCCTCAGGCAGCACAAAGCAGGTGTGCTGGATCCTGAAAGGGCTTCTGTCCGCGCTCAAGGTGGAAAGTTTCTGTGTTCTTCAATCCCTCCACGATAAGCCAGCCTTAAGACAGTTTCCATGGTAACCCGAACCTGAGAACGGATGGCTGCTACCGGACCAGACCGGTTCCTCGGGGGGGGCGTCTGCTTCCTAACCCGAACAGTTCTTCAGACAGGAAGAGAAGCTGACCAGAACTCTGGAGTATCTGGGTCAGAACAATAATAAAGAGCGACACCAGAAAAATCCGGAAGAACAAATGTAAATACAACAAACAAAACAAAAATCCATTTACGTCCACCAGTGATCGATAACTCAAAGACACCATTACTAGAGGATGGCTTCTTCCACCTAATCTGACCATCCTTTCCCAGTGAATTCCAGCTCTGAGACCTCATTTGGGGAGTGACATGGTTCCAAGCAGCCACTCTGAGGCTGTGAACTAACGCACTCTGGCACCTGTTGAATATAGCTGCGTGTGTCCATGTGAAACGTCAAGCATGTTAATGCTGTCATCACAGACCG